TTAAGTAGAAGATCTACTCCTCCAACATGTACATACTTGAGAATATCATCGCTGACAAACTCGAGGTACAGAACGGTGAGAATGGAGAACTATCCATAACGTCAGTGTTCGGTAATACAGTTGACAGGTGGTTATAACACTCCACCCACTCCACCTGATGTCTGTCTGTGAAAAGATTTCAGGATGTATGCTATAGGCAACGAATAGTAAGGCAATGCAGACAACAAGAAATACAACTGTTGATACCGTGGAATACAAGTAGCAGTGTTCTAACAACTGTGAGTATGTTGTAAACCTGATTCTGTCCAAGCTCAAAGTGCTGTTGCAACAACTTCAGGAGACCGTACCTAGTCTTCTTATCATCGATTAGGTTATAATTAGCTATAAATTGTGCTCGAAAATGTGAATAAACAAAACGGAATCACTCTATTATATCAAATATACTTACTGTGTTATGGAGAAAAGCTCTTTTTGTTTCAGGTGCTTCAAGAAGGTATCAAATTCGAAGATATGTGCAGCCGGAGTTTGATAACCACCCACAAGATCCTATGAGGAAAGAAAGCTTTCTGGATCATCACGCAGCCTTATATTCTTGCACGATTGCTTCAAAAAATAAGGTTATCATTTGAATATTTGTAGTTTTAATATATTTCTTGTGCTCGAATTTTCTGTAGAAGTTCGTCAGCTTTTTTGATGTAGGGTGGCTAGGGACACGCCAAAATATCTCCATTTCGCAGGGTTCGGGACCACCTAGGAAATTTGCGAGCTAGTTAACTACGCAAGGTTGTCATATGATGTGGAAAATGAGAATCAGTCATGTTAGACTGTGAAGATATACGATGAACAGATGAAGGCATCATAATCTAGTAGGTTTTCAGGTTGTGCGTCATCTCTTCCACGCTGATTTTACCCAACATCAAACACCTACCCGTAGTTGGACGTAGACGCAAATCCTACGACTGTAACTGAGTTTGTGGAAGCTATCTCTAATCTAAAGTGAGGCGAATGACTAGTTCCTGATAGGGAAATTCTAAAGATGTATGTATGTTAGTTACCTTAGTAAGATATTAATTAGTGTGTGGAGATGTGAGTTAATCGTGTTGGACCAGGGTATGCAATTTATTATCCCAGTATATAAGAATGGACACCAGTCTTTTAATATTACTCTGAGGTGATCAACTTGACTAAAAGAGAATCTGAAATTGTCGGCCCCATAATCACACGTAGATTAAGCGTGGCTCGGATGAAAAAAAGTCTTTGGACAAAAGGTAGGTTGTAGTCGTATATGAGGATTTATTTCTAACATCTCTCCAATTAGTCGAAATCAGGCACGGACATACCTACTGCTGTCCGACACTTCTCTTACTTCTCCACCTGAGGCGATATCTGACTCCGTTCATGTAGACATATTGTGCCTATGTTTGGCCATAAAGGAAGCACAGAGAAAGCATATCGACTAATCAAGGAACTCTTCTCAGACTCACACAAACGTGTAAAGGATTATGAAGCTCTCAGCTGAAATGATGACAACCAGTAGTGTACATCAGGGATATCTAATTTCTCCATTTCAATTTAATCTCAACGTAAATTTACTAATCGATAGTACCGACTTGGAGACTGAGCTGTTACTATGGAACGCCCTCGTCGATCTAGACTATGCAGACTCCTTTTAGGTGAAGATTATGACAGAATGTGTAGTCTTCTACACACGTTGAGCAGAAATGTGGGTATGTTTGGCCCTGTCTTATGTAAAATGATTCTTTTGAGCTGACGTGCATTGACTCCCAGTTTGAAGATAGGGATTGAAATGGTGGGTCGTGTCCACGACTTCACTTATTTGAGAAGTTGCATCAGCTCTGATGGACTGATTTCTGACAAAATCCCAGAATGGATTGAAAAGTTCCTTGTGGTATTTGCCAACATACCTCATCTCTAACATAGAAAAGATATCCTGCGATCGGTGAAAAGATGTGCTGCACCCTGTGCTACTTCATGGTTGTGAGACGTGGCACTTGTATCTGGAAGAAATGAAAATCCTAGGTGTCTTTGACTACAGATTGATATATGAGTAGAACTTGTGCACTGTGGTAGAGTATAATTCCATTGTGGAATGGAATTTGACTACAGGTGTTTTGTGAGCAACATTGAGGATATACGTAGAGCGTTAGGGATGAAGGGGAAATCGATTGATATGATCATGACAAGTGTTATGCATCACCTTCCTCGTCGAGCAGTGTTATCTAACATAGGATTAGGATGGAAGAGAGCTAGTGGTGGCCAAATCAAAACGTGTCGTCAATCCAATAAGTATTTCACTATTTCTTTGCGCCGCTCAGCGTGGTGTAGACTGCTTGGCTGTGGTTCTAGAGCTACTGGCTACCCAAATCAGGAGACTTGGTGATATGGCTCAAAATCATTTTTCCTGGAGCAGATGCATTTACTCTCTGTAATCTGTGAGATTTACCAAACTCTCATTATTCTTCGAGCAGTTATTCTTCCTCTCGTAGCTCTCCGTTCATTATAGTTTCTTCAATTATTTATCTACACTTATGTGTACTATCTGGAGTATTGTAGAGTGAACCGCTGCACTTTTGTACAAGGTTCTACGTTAAAAACACAGCAGGCTCATCCCTTATCGGTAAAGGGATGCATACTTGAATGCCTGACCAACGGAGCAAATATTTTAATTCCACTTCAGATAGCCTGACGAACAAATGGATTAGAGTGATGCCTCTGTGCTAAATAACTACACCATAAAATTCTTTAGGAAGTTCAAGAAAATTCACAGTAGATAAAGATATACTGTTGGAGCAATCAACCACATGACAATGAGAGGTTGCCATTTAAGGAGATGGCATTTGGAACCGCATGTACAATTCGTAAAAATTCAGAAGTAATGGTGTCATATCCAATAAAATTATTCTATAAAAGATTGATAACGCCCGGGTGTGTGCACCATTGCTGTACGCCGCAGAAAGCTGGCCTTGCAGAGCGGGGAATGCTTTGTGACTCTGGGTGTTTGATAATTACTGTTTCCTTAGAATTGCTGGTATTCATTGGCATCACTGAAGTCTAACAGAATGTGCTTGGATGTGTCGGGGATAGTCTTTGGATAAGTGGTGTCTTGTCCGCTTACTTGGGTATGCACTACTAATGCTGTTCCTAGTGGCACCCATACCGTTCGCTATTTTCTAGCCCTGGGATAGAATAGAAGAATTGAAGAGGTAGTCAGCACATGACGTAGTGTATAGGATATTTGTGTTGGGTTAATGACTGTCGATGGATTACAACTGCCTGGTTGGCGTAGGAGACATCATCCAACTCAATGCCTCGAGGTGTTATCAGTTGTGACTCAGAATCCAAATTAATCGCGAGTATTATTCGTTTTCCCTCATTTTGAAAGCAAGTAATGAACGCTCCTTCAAGTACCCATGATGAGTGTGGTCATCTTTTTCTATGATGTTTTTCCCCGAATAGCTTCTCTTTTCTACTTATTGTTTCATTATTTTTGTGTAGCGCGTCTCTCAGCACCTAAATCGTGTCCTAAATCTGTGAAATAACCAAGCTACGTACCTCAGTCAGAAAAACGTACCTGGTCACTAAAACTATACACCAGAGCTTTAAATGTCCATAATTTATAGGTGAACTAGACAGACAGTCCAAATTCAATCATTTACTGTACATTGTCTAACGATAGTAATCATCCGGAGGTTTAGCAGCTAGCTCCTGTTACTGTATGCATGTCAAGCCAAACAGCGCATTTGCTTGACTAGATCCTACATGGTAGAACCCCACTTCCTTATCATTAGGAAAGATCGTGACACATGCCAGTACCTTTTGGAAGTCTCTATCTTCACGTGGTTTTAGCTAGGATCAGTCCCATAAAAACTGCTTCATTACGAAAAGTCAAACATGCAGAATTGACCACACTGCCAAATTGTTCTACTTGAAGAACAAAGGTAGCTGCTTCAGCTACGTGCAAAAATTACCATTACTACCCATAATGATTTCTCAGAGGACTCTTAGAAATGCCTATTGGATAACCACAACGAGTACACGCAAAAATATGTATCGCTCCATGTCACCACAACATATTATTGGAATACATTTAAGGTTCAGTTACCAATGAAATGGTGTTAGTCAAGAATATGTGCCTTCTTCATTTCCATTAAAATTTAATAGCGATATCCCTATGAAGACCTCCAGTTCTCTATCATACCTCATGGCAACTGACTTTCTTACATGACAGACTTTATATGATGAAATAGTCCCGTTACAAGGCCATAACCTGGACATTGAGAGATAATTTGAAAATGGTAAAGATGCATTTTTCACCTGAAATGTAAACGTTTGCTTAAGAACTGAGCTGCATCGATGCCTTCTCTCACCATAAGGAAGGCGATTGCGTACCAACATTTTTGTATACTACAGAAGTCGCATTATCCGTGGTGGGTTGGTGGAGAATACAGAGAAAGTGTCAGAAATCTAAAATGAAAGTCGAGCCGAGAGATGTCGGATCTGTTATTGAACACCTACTACTGGACAGCCGAATGACAAATTATTCGTCTTGGACTAGAGAAAAGTAGTACTGCTGATGTGCACATATGATAGAACTAGAATACAGGAGGTGTCTATCTGCGGTGAATCCTGTGAGCAATCGGTTGCGCTATTATTTTTTTGGCCATATTGTAGAATGTTCCACTATGCAAGGGAAAGTGCCAACTATTAAGGTGGTCATAAAGGGTTTCCAGTAGCAAATTTTCGTGACAGACTGACCTCATTTACAGAACTAAAAATTAGGTTAGAAGATGCTGCCTAGTGCAGAACCTTTCATCATTGCGCACGTATGAGCCCACCGGGAATCGAACCCAAGGCTGTTAGTTATTTCATGTTTCGACATCAATCCCTGAAGAAACTTAAATTTTGATTTGAGTACCACCACCTTATATCAACAGGAATCTCTCATACCTTGGCGTTACCATTTCATACATGTACCGCAGATTTACAGAAAACTGTATACACTTAATCCCTATTTAAAATATAAAAACTTCAGATAATCAACTCAATAGTTTTATTTCAATACGTAGACAATGCTTATGTACAAAAATGCCGTACAATTTATGTATAATATGTTATGAACTCTCTGAAAAATATGTCAGGGACAGAAAGAACTGACAAATATGAAATGATGCAAATATTTGGATTCCAACGTGATTATGGTGACGACGAATTCATTTTCATATCGGACCTGCCAAATGTTTAAGAGAGACAAAAGAAGTGTATATTAAATCACTTAGACCAAATATATCTTTTGGTTTTTTTGAAATATTAACCAATATTTAATTCACATGATTAAGCAGAATGTTTTAGAATAAATATATATATTGAAAAATTTTATTATTTGTTATTATTAAAGCAGGAACTGTTTATATTATGGTCATCAAGAGATGCGTCACACAAAGTCCCATAGTTTGTGCGACGGCTGGTATACTGCCCAGACATTTATATCGAAGCAGGCTTTATTGGTTTTGTGCCGCATAGTTAATTACACAGCAAATACCCACGTACACGGTGGCGGACTATGAGCCACATTTACTGCGTGTGTATGTTCGGGCTGATGATACTATCCAGGCTGTGAAGCATGAGGAACAAGATGCGAACACTGGATCCATTGCCTGAAAATCGAGTGTTCGAGGCAATGAACCACATCTTCACAAATGCATACTGTCTGAATCCATAATCCATACTTAGAACTTCAGGTTGTCATTTTATATCGACATGATGAAATCAAAAGCACTGAAATGTTACAGGGAAATATGACGATAACATTAAGCTTATTTATGCGCATGATTATAATGTTTTATCTATGCAAAGTTATTTGATCGCAAGTTAAGTGTGTGCACACTCGATTGCAGGATCACACAAAATAGGCTATGTAGACGAATGGGTTAGACAGTTGACCTTAATAACAATTTCATAAATATCACTGTGATAACTGTGATGACCTGAAATTATAAGGGACACTAGATATAGATACAGTTTTGTATATAGGAATTTTTTTCACTACAAGTCATGCAAAATCCAAAGGATTTGTGATGCTCCCAATAGTTTTTTGCCAAAGATTATTTTATTTATTTATTTTGATTACAGCTTGATTCCACACCGTATTTTCAGTACAAGTATGGAATTTTCATCATGGATATCGGTAGCCCAAATTTACAGGCCGACCATAGATATCGGGTGTGCGCCGGCAGGGGATCGAACCCCGAACCATGTGCATGGTCGGCGAGAGTCTTAACCACTGTGCCACCGACGCACAAGAAAGCAGTCTATATAAACCTACGGAAGGCTATTGTGAGTACTGCTGCAACTCAAGTGGATTGAAAATATCTGAACAATCTATTCTTCTGTAAATGGTTGCACAAGTACGTATCATTTCAGACTGTCAGCATTTTGGACGATGAAAAGGATAGCTTTAAAAAGAAACTCTTTGGATTCCTGATACATACTAGTAACAGCTTTGAATGTTCAAATAGGAAAGATGAGCGAAACAGAAAGTGTTTTCGTATCTACGAGGTCCAATGATGAAGAGCCGGTGACACTAACTGTTTCCTACGATTTTGTTCAAACGATCGTAAGTTCCTATGCGGGACGAATCGCAAACATAAGGAGAGACATTGTCTCACTAGGCAACCAGCGGTGTACCTAATTCATGAAAAGGATCAGTGGAAAATTTCCACTTCTGGCACATTGAAAGCCCTAATGTGAAGTTGGAAGCATGGACTTAGGAACTTAGAACGGTGTTTCTACGGCTCCAGTTGCTACAGACAATTAAACAGTTGGGGGAAGGTGAATGAGTGCAGTTACTTACTAGATGAGAGAGGATTGGTTTTCCAAGACCACAGAGCCCGAGAAACAATTGTTCAAGAACTGTTTATTGATGGAGGTTTATCCATATGGAAGACCCTACTAGCTAGCTACGGAGCACCAATTGATATGTTAAGATGTTCAATTTTCGGAGTTTCACTTTCCTAACGTATTCGCATGAACGTTAGGAGACAACATAGCTACCTTGCTGGTCTCTAGAGGGGACCAACTTACTGCTACTAAACATATAACCACCACATGCTCGGCAAAACATCAGCTTTAGACCAACCCACACCATACTCTAAACAAATTACACTGTGGTGACAAATGCTTTCATTCTAACCACTATTCATCCTCCCTTTTCCGTATAGTAGAGAATGCAAAAATGTTTGGTGCAGTAAGCATACCCATTTGGAACACTGGAGTACGTAAGATGAACTTTTAAGTCAGGGTGGAAACTATCAGTTGGCTAGTTTCAAGCAGACAGCAGTAGTGGTACGCTGTTAAACAAGTTATATGAGGTATATCAAAACATAACACGATAACTTACTGATAAAAAATGCAGATTTCCTTGCTGGGATAGTTAACGATATTTTTAGAAAGTAGTTTTTCATGTCTCAAGGACTTCTTCTAGAGTTTTATCAGGTTGGTAATCAGGAGACCATCCCATATGGGCGATACGCTGAGCCGTTACGCAGCACTGTTTGTTTGTCTTTCCATCAAGTTTTGATGATTGATAGTAGGACAGGAATCCACTAACTAATAAACGTTCCCCAGGCTTGATATCTCTAAGACCACTAACCAATTTAGGACTGAAAACGTGGATTCTATTCGATGAACTGAGGGGAATCTTTCTGAACGTTACTGAAGAGTCATTTGGTAAAGTGTCATCAGTTGGATGCGTATCTAACACAGGCACCAATTTTGACATGCGTGTTTTCAAGAACAACAATGCCCAGTTGCGATCTGGATTGCTTTGCATCGGGAACATCTTTACAACAAAAAAAGCGAAACATGTATAAATTATTAGGTCAAACAATAGCATATAACTCAAAATAAGAATTCAACGTATGGTGTTAGTTATTCAAAACCATGATACACGATCCTTACTTTGAAAATGTCAGGTTTTTAGAAACAATATTTAGTATAACTAGCACCTACTCATTCGAATAATGAAGCCATTATAGCAGTTACTTTCGGCCTTTATAAGGAGTTTAAGATATTTCTGTCGGATGTCCTACATGAAGACTTAAGCGCACCTCGTAATACACACATACAGTGAATTCCTGAAAGTTAAGGGTTCACCAAGTAACCCTGTGTACTCTTGTCCTTCAACATACACACTGAATGTTGTCTCTAGCTTCATTGATTACTGAAAGGAGGAGGTGGAACTAGAACTTGAGCACTGTGATAAAGTATAACTCCGGTGAACAACCTATATGACCATTAAATTTCTTTGTATTGCAGTGTACCACATGAAGTAAATTATTCTTTTAAAAAGTAAAGTAATAAATATCCACCAAACTAGTTAGATTTTATCCCAAAAGTATGAAAAGTAAATCATATAAGACAGTTTCTTATACACCGAAAGGGATATTTTTATATTTACGTTAACAGTGCGTACTAACTGACGAGTTGATTTAAGAATGTTAGAAATACACGAAACTACTGACAAAATAAAAGAAGTGGAAAATCAAGATGATAATTGGGGCATAAAAGTAAAAGTGTTTAAGGTTTTAGGTTAATCACCTGTTATCAAATTATACATCTACAAAATTTAATAAATGAATTGGACATATTCATAACTTAGGTTAAGAACCAGATGTAGTGTTTGATAGTTAGTCATATTACCGGGCTGACCGTACACTGAGAGGAGGACAGATTGAACCTACAACCCAACAGGTGAAACCAAGGTGCATAGGTTAAACTGCTTCCTAGATAAAATAACTTCAATATCAATTGGAGTCAAAACGATACAACTTCACTGAAATCTCTTTTCTAGTCAGATAAAAATTCACTGATGAAATTGACAGTCAAGTTATAATGATTTAAAATAACATTTCTAACAGTTAGGTTTGTGCACCACATAATACTTCCAAAAAAAGTTCATTATTTATACACATTTCCAGCAAACATAACCTACCTTCAATCCCATAACTGTTCCAAGTAGCAACACTGAATTTATATATGATGCACTAAATACCTTCAGTTTATCAGTAGGAATGTCAGGTTCTTCGTCAGTGTTTGGTGATTCTGTCGAGGCAATATGCGGAACAACTGAGAATTGACCATAGGTACAACGGAATGGCCATCTTATTAGAAAGGGTCGAGTTGAATATACAGAACGGACAAGCGCCATCCTATGAAGTAGACTTAGTCACTACCTGCAAGATATCAACAAAACAAAAGATATATATACATATACGAATTGCAACAGTGAAATCTTGATTTCTCTGCAGCAATCAACCAATTTTTTGATATTATATAACATGAAATTGACTTACATTTCAGGGAGGACTGGACTATACCACGCGATGTTCGGACGAGACTTAAGCGCGAAGTTATCGAAAAGTCATTTCATTTGATAAGTAAAAACAACCAATAGCATTACTTAAGGAAACAATACCTTAATTGAAGTAAAGAGTAGCTAACAACTAGACTCCATTCAGAAAAAAGCTAGTACAAATTACTGACACACCGTTTATTTCATTTACGACTTTATTTACCTGAGAACCAGTTTTTTAATAGCTGTCGTCTCTAAATCATTGAGGAATACAACAATACACTGTGCAGGTAATACGAGACTTCATCTCCACTTAATTTGTTAGGCAAGTCAGATTCCTACTTACATTAGAATAGGGTGGAATAAAAGTTTATATAAAAAGACTACGAGATTATAGGAACCCAATGAAAACCATCCATTGGTTGCTTAGAGAACTCTCCACATCCCTAGAGAAGTGGCTTATCATGTCGACTGATTTAATGAACAACCTCGAAATGTTTTCAGACAATCTGCTTAAAACTGGTAACAGGATACCAACAAAAGTTCGAGTGCCTGAAAAAGATTAAACTTAAAATTGCCAGAAGCCGGTTATAGACTGCCGGTTAACTAGGTGACTAAATGTGGAAGAAGCCAAAACGGCAAGGTAAACGTTAAAGTATGGGTTGTAAACTTAAAGTTTTGTTGACTATACTTACAGTACAACGCTTGCAAGGAATACCCTAGAACAAATATGTCTTGGTTAAGATGCCACTAGACTAGCATATGTTCCACCGGTAAAATGTCTTCTGTAGTTCCACTACATCAGAATAAATATTGGTTGTCAGTTCTAAAATCAACCACTGGCACAATTTATCACTTGAATGCAAGAACAGAAAGCTCCATTTAATACGTTAAGAAATTGGCAACTGAATGACTTTATTCAGGATAGTAATATAAAGTTAAATGCACTCTTTAAACTTCTAAACGACTTTAGTGTCACTTATTCTACGGTTCCACTATTACAAATTAAAAATGCAAATTTTTGAGATTACACATAGAACTAGAAAATTAAACCAGTCAACCAATGAATTAATACATTTTCAGTTGCTTGGACAACTGAGCGACCCAAGTCATCCTAACAAATCTTAATACATTTAGGCTGCAAATGCTAGTAATTTACAGCAACAGTACAAAAACCCATTGGGTTTTAACAAACTGTCACAATGTGATGATTAGATTTTTGACTGGTCAATAAGAAATTTATGTAACGCACCACAGCTATTTGGTTACTTGCTTTTAAATATAACTACTTGAAGTTATGTACCATTCCGAAGGTTTTACAGAAAATATTTCATCGTCATCACTGGCATTACTAAGCGCAAGTGATCTAATTTTGCATATAGGTACTTTTTAATTATTTGTACTGGATACTTAGGGTATGTTGTGTTCATGGATTACAGCCTTTTTGTCTAGTCTTACTGACGCACAACTACAGAAAACTACATTTCCAAAATACATAGACCAACCGGTTTGAAATAATTAACTAGACATTTGATGATCTTCAGCAAAACTAAAATGTTCAGCGCTTTTAGGTAAAGTTGAAGAATAGCTATCCAAGCAATGCGAACACACGACTGACTTTGAGTCGACCAATTTTGATCGGATGAGGCGTAGGCAAAATGTGAGTCATAGAGGATGAGAAATGCCATACACCTCACTACGACTTCCAAGTAAGAGCATCAACAACTTCGAGTTTTGAGGTGGGTTTAGTCAAGGATTCTAAACTTTATTTACTTGAGAATGCAATTACAACGAAATCAATGTATAAGTACATCATGTCACAAATCAAATGTATGCCGATTATTCTTTCTTATACTTACTGGATTGTGTGCAAACTACCATACATAAGCAAGTATTCCTCATGCCACTTTACCAAAAATTACTATGTATGAGATCACTAAACGAGTTTCCTATTTCCTATTTTTCAGGAAGGAACGCAGACGTGGCACTGTTGGAGGAAGAAGAAGACCGATTGTCGAGACTTGTTATAAATGATAATAAATAACTCTGTACCCGGTCAGTTTAAATCTTGCGTGGTGTAATAAAGACCTTTTCTTCCGCATCTTCGTGTTCTTCCTTCATTGGCTGCCAAATGTAACACTCACGGACAACAGACACAGCCAATGAAGGAAGAACACGAAGATGCGGAAGAAAAGGTCTTTATTACACCACGCAAGATTTAAACTGACCGGGTACAGAGTTATTTATTATCATTTATAACAAGTCTCGACAATCGGTCTTCTTCTTCCTCCAACAGTGCCACGTCTGCGTTCCTTCCTGAAAAATAGGAAATAGGAAACTCGTTTAGTGATCTCATACAAGTTTTTATATCATTACAACCTTACCAATAACGCGCTGTAGCACACGAAGTTAAACAGTGCACACCTAATCGAAGATCCAATGTCTTCTTCAAAGCTCGAGTGAACTTTTTTATTTCCCGAAATTCGCCTCTTGTCTTCGAGGTCCAAAAGATTATATAATGGTGCAAAAATGATACCATTATGTTGGAAATCTCAGAAATTGTCCTTACCATATATATTGTCTCTGAATACTGGTTTGCAAATGTTAAGGGATGACACAGAGTTGACGATATTCATAAGCTAACACGATTAGGCAATATTTGCATCCAATAACGCCTGCACATTTATGTGTACATTCAACCAGTACTGTTTGTTTGACGAAGTTAAAGTGCTACTTATTTTCTAGAAACTTTTTCTTTAAATCTATAGTGTTAGGTAGGGTTATGGCTTTTTAGACTAAGGCTTAGGGAAAACGTAAGGATTAGTGTTAACGTTAGGATTAATGTCAGAGTCAGGAGTAGGTTAGAGAACGGTGTCAGGAATACCAATGGATCTCAAAGTGTCATAACCTACTGACACCTGGGTGAACGGAGATATCATGCTTGGTATGATTTCTCTGTAGATAATCTGCGTATTGACTGGGAGAAATTCTTGCAACACCTAAGTCACAACTATACAGCGTAATTTCTAGTTCGCAATATTTTTTAGTGCATTTCTTCAACGATTATCAGACATTTTTGCACACGGATCAAAGTCACTGTGGATTTGACTATGATAGTTTAACTTTGCTCGCTTAACGAATTGAAACTGTGCACTGGAAGATGAAAACCCTGTTAAACATGTGCCGATGCATTCATAGCTTGACCCATACCAATCATCTACAACTGCCACAGGACACTCATTATTTTGGGTTGCACTGAGGTAGAGAAACGTTTGTTTTTAAAATAATCCATTTCAGCTACTGTGTGTCGGTGGCACAGTGGTTAGGACTCTCGCCGACCATGCACATGTTTCGGGGTTCGATCCCTTGCCGGCGCACACCCGATATCCATGGTTGGCCTGAATTTGGGCTACCGATATCCATGCTGAAAATTCCATACTTGTACTGAAAATACGGTGTGGAATCAAGCTGTAAATCAAAAAAGCAAAAAAAAATCAAAACATCGTTCTCTACCTAAAACAGCTCATTTCAATTTTTCCGCTAATCTCCTTTTCACTCAGTAGGTTGAAATTTTTCTGTCTTCCTCCAAACTTACCTAAAAACTCTCCCTATCTTGAATGCAACGCCTCGGTGAATTCTTCTTGTTGTTTTGGAGTCATTTTACACATATCTGGCAAGCGTTTACTCACTATTTTGTATGCCTTGATGTATTCATATCGAGTTTTCGCTATCAGTCATCATTTTACTCCGATTATACTTTCGTCAGCTTCATTCGTCCGTTCATACGATGTTATCAGCTCTTTTCAAAAGTGTTGGCTCAATAAATCATATGCCTCTAAACATGTCAGATGCTTTGTATATCTGCATGTAAAGTCCGGATGTGAGTTATTCTCTTTGTCCACGCATGCATACGAAAATGGAGATAGGTTGAACAGACGTTCGCGGAACCGCTGGGTGACATAGACTGAAATTCTGCAAGTCTAGCCTCCTGGGGTGAAATGAAGAACACTGATTGAACAGGAGATGAGAGTCTAATGGCAGTCATGGGGCCAGAGGAGGGCTAAGTGGAGATGCGCTGCCGGAGCTGTAGGAACCCAAGGTAATGATAGCGTATCCTTGTCTGCGTCCTATCTGTCCGTCAGCACTAACTCAACGTCATACCGTGTCTGTCTCTGGGAATGTTCGGTTCCAAATATGGGGTATAGGAATCATTTTTATGCTGGTTCATATATAAACAGAACTCGGCGCTTATCAATGTCCAATACCAGTTTGACTGCTTTAGCCCAGTTCTCCAGTTTGTTCAGGTTTTCCGGTGGCTTTATTGATCGTTCATAATTTGTCGCTACCCTCCTTGATTTAACATCATCTGAGTAGCAAAGCGATGGAAGGCCGAAGCTATCCGCAGATAATTTAAAAATCATTATCAGTAGTGAACCAGAAGTCCCCTTGAGGGACCTCAGTTATTGACTTCATTCACCATTTGCTGTCGTGGAAAATTCACTACCTTACACATAGGATGCAATCCTATATGGCTGTGGATCGTTTGTGCTCGTTTTGAAGACAGTTCACAGTGAAACCTTGCAAAGCATCGAGTCAAGGATTTTTTCACGGACTAGAAAAGTGACAGGGGTGGGATATTCAAGCCCTAAAGCACCATCCACTTGTTCTACGTTGCAAGTTGATTGGCAGTGCAAATCCGATCCATCGCGAAGCTTCACTCAGAACGTTAGTTTGACTAAGATTATTCTCAATGAAATCATCCAGTGGGCCTTCTTTCATCTCTGCTTTTGCTTTCAGTGACAATCCGGAACTGCATAGCCCTCAAATAGGACTACACTGTCAACCGATGAACGTGGATTATTCACACAGAGACCTCATACACTGTTTTTGGTTAAAGAGAGGCATAACGCATACTGTGCAAGCCAAAACAGAAGCCTCGCATAAACGGCGACTGTCCAGTAAGCAGAATGACCATGATGTTTACTTAGCACTCAGCGACCTGTTCAATACATGGGTCTTGAGCAGCATGAAGTAGTTGGCGCCATTAGACAGTGACTGCATCCAATTTCAAGGGTTGTCCTCAAACTGCAGTGAGAAGAATATATGACGTTTGCACGTGAATAATATGTTGAGCTGAAAAACTTGCCGAAAACAGATTAAATGCAAGGGACATGAATAATATTCTGCAAGAATGAGGCGGCTTTGCTCATTTTGAGCTATCCTACAGTTTCATGGTAGAAACTATGAACATACATGTAGTTTTTAAAGGCGATTAAGTTACTTGAGAAATGTAACAATGGAAAGAAATTTGAGCTGGATCTAGTTTATGGGATATGTGCGCCATTCGAGCCATTGTTCACGCTCACTAGTGCTTGGAGGTACTTGACCGCTGTTGTTATTGGACTTATTAACAGGGGGCTTAGGAGTTCTGACAGCGATTGAATCTGAGACAAATTTCGGTGTCCAGTTCGGTCAATGACAAAAAATCTTTCCTTCCTGCAGGCCTTTCAGGGGTTTAGGCACCGTATCAGAAAGAAAAAAACCTGTGTGCTGTCTTGAAGTCTATAATTCAGCTGGACTTACCAGTTCTCTGCACGTCTTAGGGTTGGTTGAAGTTGATGCATAAGACGTATGAGATTCTGACTATAGCTGTGGACATCATAGAGGCCTGGTCACAGCCTTCTGAAGAAAAAACATTCATCAGGTTAACAGAGGATGGATTTTTAAACCGCTCCCGCTCTAAATATCAAGTCTGAGGCCGGAACGGATGCTTGGGCGGACTAGAAAGAGAGAGGGTCTACTCAACTGGTGCTATGGACATCCGTTAAAGAGACTTGAATTCGTCAGTGAAAACCATCCACCAGGCCATCAGTGGATGGAGGTATGCTGTGCTTCCAGTGCTTTCGAGTCCCTACAGTCCTGAAGGCTTCTCAGAGGTTGTTGCTGATTGACCATCATCACTGTAGAAGGGCATCCAAACTGTGCAACCCATGTTTCCATAAAGACTCAGCTAGTCGCCTCGGCTTTAGTATCCATCGTAGGGATAGATTTTCCATAATGAGGAAAGTTATCCACATATGTAAATAAGTATGAGTGTACGCTGGAAGGAGGCAGTGGACCAGCAGCGTCTAGATAAACGCGGCTAAAACACTCATCAGGTTTAGTGAATGGTCTGACTGAACTGAAGTTGTGTTATGCGTTTTAGAACACTGGTCCTGTGTGTGCAAAGGCGTGCCCGATTTCGCACATCACGGTTAGTGATGCCCCGGGAAAAACTAAATGATATACTTTTATCGGTAGGGCGTATGCTGGGGTGTAAGAGGTTTTGAAGGTATTCAAACACTGTCCATCATATAGAGGAGCAACATAATTTAGGACGCCCTCGAACATATTACAAGGTGCATTAATCTCTTATCACAGTAAGAGGTAGGCATTTAATTCTCCGAAGGGGTGTTGTGGTAAAGTTTTTCTACACTGAAATTCAAAGCCCGAAGTTCTGCTATGGTGTCAGTTCGAGACAACCTGTCTGCCACAGGGCTCTTCCACGCAAATCCTGATGGATATCCAACGTGAACTGTATGGTGTAGTTTGAGTGAAGAACTTAGCGTGAAAAGTACCTGCCAATGGTGCTATGAAAGCCGGGGATTAGAGATTTGCGATCACTAAAAACAATAAACTTGCCATCGTCGACGAGGTGACAGAATGGTCTCAAGGAGCATACATAACAAACTTTTTGCAAAAAAAATTTCTCTATAATGTTTAGCAAGCACATGGCTTCCTGGAAGAGAAAGCAAGGCGTGTTTGCGTGGATAAGAGTCACACAGGACAACTATGGAAGAGAACCTCCAGCAGAATGACCCTGAACAACTGATGAGATGAGTATTATCGTATACGGATGTAAGCCATACTCAGCTGATTCATGAGAAAGTCACCTAGTCTCGTGTCTTTATTTTTATTTTTAGGGTATTTTCACTTGAAGTGCGTTACAGACATCATACTTAAGCAAAAAAATACATGGCAAAATGGAGAAAAGTGGTCGTTTTCTATCTGTGAGCATATTCGGTAGCAACGTATATGGAACGTCAAAATCCGTTGTGAAAGACTGATTGGGACAAGAAATACGAGGTAGTTGACATAAACGAAACGTCTTTCTGAACGGTTCAGAAGTTGGTTGACAGCTTCAGATCAACACATGAACTTGAATCGTAATCTCACAAAACCACAATTATTGTTCAATTCTAGATTCAAAATAATGGTTCGGCTTCTAACAGAGGCATTTCGCTCAGTAACTTCTCTCGATTCGCCCCTGTGGGTCGGATACATGGCTATAGCTTCAAATCAGTGCATTTCTTACTAAA